ACAAGCTCTTTTGCATTCAATATGATGATTTGCTTATGAATGCATATTGTCTTCCCTTTGTGCGAGATGACAGATGTGTTCTTGTAAACACAGAGCTGGAGACCTTGGGATAGAAAAGCATTAGTGTTAAGACAATTTATTGTGCACTTGTTAATAGATGCTAATAGGGGTAAATTAATGTCTTGTTTTTGTTTTCTTGAACGTGTAAAAAAAGATGGAGTTAAATTTAGGAAAAATAATGACATACAAGATTCTGCCATGTTTTTTTTGTGACTTTGATTAGCTGGAAAACAGAAAACCCCTTTACAGGACCCAAAAGGGTGACTTAAGGGTTTAAGAGAACCAACCTTAAATCATTTGACATTCAAGGAAATGTATTAAAAGATATAAGGTGATAAGGACATTTTAAAGTGTGACTATATCTACCGCTGATTCAAAGATAGTTTATTGAAGTCCTACTCAGCTCATAAGTCTGTTTCATTCACTCTTCTACAGGCCTGACCCATCCCTAAGGCAACTCAAAACAACAGTGAAAAAATATGGTGTTGAAAGGTATAAAGAGAATTCACATTAGATGATCAACATTCAGGCAAAATCATTCAGGATTTCAATTTCATGAGAAAACAACGAAACCTGTAACTCACAGTTAAAAGTGCACAACTATGAATATATGCAACTCAGCCAGGCTTAAACCATATTATTTATCTCTCAATGTAATTAAATTAATATATTTACCTAACAATTGCAGTAAATGTACAAAAAAAATAGTAAGACACTTATGCATAAATGTTAGAGTTAAATGGCAACAATGTTCCAAGATAGACAAATCATTTCAGTGTTTGATACATAATAAAAATGTATTTGTTTGATATATATATATATATATATAAAAGTGTTTGATACATATATAAAAATTGAATTAAAGGAGTTTTTAATATCTTTAAATGAGCCAAATGTCACATCATACTTTATTTTGCTTCTACAAGGTTTTGTCTGATAAACCATAAGGATGAAAAGCTATGATGAGGATTTGAAATTTTATTTAATTTTAAATGGCAGAATTTCCAGAGAACGGCTGAGTATTTTATAATGATACATAGTATCTGTTCAGTTTGGCTTTTACCCAGCTTTTCGTAATTAGGATCATTCGTTCTTAATGAAAAATCATTCACTTTTAGTATGGGTTTAAGTTATTTGATTTGTTTATTCTTATTAGTTTGATCTTTGCTGCAATAAATTAAACAATACCTTTGGTATTAATAGAAATTTAGCTATTATTATTTGTGATCTTAGCTTTAGGACATGTATTTAAATTTTAGAATCTATGCATTTTAGTACATAGTTGTTTCCTTTAAATCAACATTACCTCTGTCAGCTATACATTTCTGTATGTTCTCTAAAAATTACCTGTTTTAGCCTTTACAGTTTTTATTTTGAAATAATTGCTGTTTTTTTATTATGTTGTTACATTATCTTGTTTTCATGTGATAAAAAGCGTTTCTTTTATCCCTCGATGCTTATGGAAAGCACAGACTGATTGATTAAAGGGTGATGCTGTTTGCAAAGAATCAAATCAGCTTTGATTATGTAAATCTATTAGCAGGCTCCTATCCACCTCATTTTAACGCACATCCACAAAATACTAATTATTTTGAATCAATTCATCGTATTTAATTCTCTTCATTTTGTGACTTTGAAACAGATCTCTAACAAATCACATAGGAGGAAGAAAACTCGTTCAGGGTTAAAGAACAGTTAAGAAAAAGGTAGATTGAATGTATATTTCTTTTACAGAAAAGTGTTTGTCTGGTTTATGAAAAAATGGTAATAATGAAAATAAACCTGTGGGCCATGCGGCAAAATGTGCAAAATCATTTTTAATGCTTTGTTCTTGATATAAGAACCATAAAAAAATGGATATAAAGATGACCCAGAAATGGAATTAACTAATCTACGTCAGTCGCAGATTATTTAAAACAACGGATGACACAGAAATAAATAATAAAGAAATGAAATTAACAGGGTGATTTTTACCTTTCTGAAATATATATATATTTTTTTTTTTATCTCTGCGAACAATTATGGGGGGTTGGACTAACAAAGTAAAAAAGTGCCACATAGGGCTTCAACTAACGATTAGTTTGCAAATTGATTAATCTGATTTTTTTTCAATTAATAATCAGATAGCCAAAGATTCCTTAAAGAACATTTATAATAAAATTAAACCAGGTGAAATTAAAACTTTTCCAAGGTTAATTATTAGTTAATAACCAGTTAACAATTAATTAATTACCAAATTAGGTGATTGTTATTTCAATAACCCATTAATCATGATTAATCTGATTAATTGTTTCGGCTAAACTGGCAAGATGACACTATTAAGTGAAGTCAAACAGGTCTGTGCTAAAGACACAAAGGTTTGGTGAAGCAACAACAGTTAAGCAGGTAGGGCAGCAATCACCACCAGAACAAATTGAAAAGCTCATTTGCATGCCCATCTTTGGTGAAGCCTAAACCAACATAATGAACAGATTATGTGTTTGACTAAGCCCTAAGAATTAGGTTTTTTTACATCTGTATCCTTCTTAACAGTAAATCATAGATTTAAAAATAAAATGTTCTTAAATGAGTAAGGGAAGATTATTGGCTTATAGTTTCACCAGTAAGAGTGACCTCTATCAGAGAGATTTAAAAAGAAATGTTTGTTTATGTTACTTTCTAAAAATACAAGAAATGTCAACATTCAAGTTACCAAATACATTTTTAGCAAACAGTATAATACTACTAGGTTAAAAAATATATTGCATTGTTTATTGAATGTACGTTTATTTAAAACTTCTCTCTAGGCAGGTAATATACATAATGTTTGATATACATTTGCTAAAAAAAAAAAGCTATTGTCTAACTTCATTGTTTCTGGCAGAAAAGGTTTTAGTCACTGCCCAGGGTGTGATCTCAGCAGGGAGGCACAAAGAAGACATATTTTTAATTTCTTTCAAAACACACACAGCAATGCATAAACTATTACACGACCAAAACTTTTATGACACTATTTGTCATAATTTGGATTTATTTAATTGAAATGCGACCCAGATATAAACAAAATAAACGCCTAATAAAGACTGCCAGTACACAACAGAGGCCCGTACACATTTATGAAAGTTATTTTGCCATGTTTATAAAACTCATCCAATGTGACATTTTAATATTTCCCTAAAAAAATGAAAAACATAAAACAACATTAAACCTGAACCATTTTGCTCTGATCTCAGAGTTGAATGCATATTAAAATATTGGAAATGTCATATCACCGTTATTGGATAAAATAATTTTGCTATTGATATTGAATTATTGTCAAACCATAACCATAGAACGTAAACAGTTATGTTATAATTATGTATAGTAAATATGGAAAAAGGCAATAATCAAAACGCACAATTATAACTGGATTCCCTGCACATCATATAATATTATTTCCTTTTTATATCAGGAAGTGTTCGGCTAGATGTATTCATATATGATAGATTAAAACTAGATAAAAAACAGACATGAACCAACATGTCAACTTGTTATATCCATACTCTGCTGTGCAGCATTCATAGCAGCAGAAAGAATAGCATTGACTTAGTTTTTAGATAAACAATCTAATAAATGATTAACAAATCTGTATAGCTTAAAAAAAGAGGAGCAGGATACTGATCATAAACACTGATGAATAAGTAGGGTGAAAATATGACTGTACACCACTTATTACTGGTTAGTTATTGTATATAAATTAAAAAGCAAAACTGATACTGTTTTATTAAATGCAGGATTTCATTTCATTTAAACACATTTTATTGTTTTGTTTCTACTAACATATAAAATATATAACTAGAAATCAGGAAATTTAAAAACAGAACAGAAATTATAATAATAGATTTCATAGGGCCCTAAACAATATTCTTACAAATCAAAAAAACTTAAATTAGCATCATTGTTGGAAATTAATTTCAACAAAACTTTAATCAATCAATCAACTTAAGCTATTGCTGCTTGAAGAATTAGAAGCACTTTTTCCCCCAATAAGAACATGGTTATTTGTTTTGTTTTTTGTGTTTAGTTTTTGTTTTTTTAATATATCATTATTGATACCAACATATCAATTCAATTCAGTTTATTTATATAGCGCCTATTCACTCTACATATCAGTGGCCCCCATTTGGCTGCTCCTTTAAAAACCTTCTGTGCACACCCCTGTATAGGTCTCATGACTCCTTATATTTATGGCAAAGAAAGCAGGGCTTGTCCGGGGACTGCAAGAACTGATTTGGAAGAAGTTTAGGATCCTATGTTCAAATAGAAATGTCTGCTGAAATGTTGATCCCCTCAACTAGCTCCATGTCTTCTGAAGCCCATAAAAGCTAGAGGACAATGTGTCCCCTCATCCTCCAGCCTGGAAATCCTCGGAAGAGTAACAACGCTTTGCAGGACCATAAAAAGGCCTTAGCTTAAGGGTGAGAAAATCATGGAATGAGTCAAAAAACAGGCCTCTGAGTGACCTCCTGCAGCCTACATAATAAATCCACAGTGCAACATGTGGTAGAAAAGCAAGCCTGGCTTCATGTGTGTTCAGGATCAACATAAGCAATGCAGAGCAAAACAAGGCTCAATGTTAAGTTAAGATTTTAGAGGAAAGAAAAGAAGAAAAACACATGCTGGCCGACATGTTGGCTGGCTGGGTGTCAAGCAAGCTCTGCTGTCCATTAAGGGCCAAAGTGTGAAACTAGTGGTGTCAGAGCCACACAGGAGAGAGGGAAGCAAGGAGGGGAGGGGGGGCTGATCGCATGTGGCCAAAAGAGGAAACACAGTAACATGTTTGGCAATGCAAAACATCCGGATCACACAATATAACTCTCTTTGTGGAGGGGGAAAAAACTATATATGTGGGAAATGTCAATTCTGTTTAGAATTAGAAATCAGCTGTTTATCTGTTTATGTGAAATTGTTTTTTAACTTACTTGGTGGACGAAAACATCCAGAGGAGGGTCTACGGGGTTCCCTTCGCTGTTTGTCATTGATATAAATCCAAAGCCCATCCGGACGTTGAACCACTTGCAGAAGCCTGATCCGGACAGGATCTGGGTTCGGATCCTCTCCTGCTGCTCGCTGGACTTGGCGGGATCCTCTCCGCCGCCACCTTTACCCGGCCCTCCTAAAAAAAAAAATAAATAAATTAAAAAAAAACAACAACGGGAAATTAGAGAAGCATCTTTTCTGCTTGCATACACTCCTTTTATACGAGTCCCATAAGATACATTTTTTTTTTAAATGAGCTTAAAGCAAGGGAAAAAGCGGGGATTCCCCCTATAACTTGAAATGTGAAGTTCACGGACGGTAGAAAATTTCTAAACTAATATGTTTAATTAAGAAAAATGCGGCGTATGTCTCAGAAAAGTTGTTAATCGGTGACAGATGAGTGCATCTGCTGCTGCATCGTGCACAGGCATGCTCTGTGACTTATGAAGGGGGGGCTTTTCTGTCCTGTCACGCATCTACAACCCAGTTCCTGCTGTGGAGTTACAAAGAAGGAGGAAAAAAAAGGCAGGTGTACACATGGGTTGATCGAGCTTTTACTACACGACCACGCTCTAACAATGCGCGTATGTGAACGCAGCCAAACATGGTTAGACACGGTGCTCGGCAAGGGGCGCGTCAGTTTGATTTTCCTTCTGTTTTCAGAGGGTTTGCAACAATAATCGCGCTGCACCTTGCCTCCCCTGCACCTCATCCTCCTCGCTTCGCGTTAAAGAGTGGATTCATATTTCTAGGTACGTCAATAAATGATAATAATTGCAGAATAACCTTCGGCCATGTTTCCCCGCGGACCCTGAGCGCCCAAGTTGCGATAGAGAAGCTTCCTCTGCGGTCTTCACCATTAATCCGACATCCTCGATCCCGTCGGTCGCCAGTTTGGCTCGCATGGTACAGCGTGCTTTCTGCCTTTTGATATTTTTGTCATGTCTTTCTCTCTTCCCTCGGATCCCTTCCTCTCTCACACCACCTCTGTTCTCGCTCTATTCCTCCTCCCTCTCTCTCTCTCTATTCGCTCTCCTGCTGGCTGTGCCCGTTCCCGTAGTGAGAGCACGTGACTTTGTCAATTACTTTTTTTTTGTCGCAAACTTCCACCTCTACAGATAAGAACATCATCCATAACAGTCATCATAAAGGGATCATATATATTCCAGTTATGATAGATGCCTCCTCCCTATTATAATGGGCTGGTGTGGCAACCATGAGTCTATTATGCACTCAGATTAGATTAGATTAAATTATGCTTGGATTAATGTTGGGGGCAGTTGGGTGGTGATGGCAACAAGAATAACACGGAAAAAACAAGAAATACATCAGAAACACATGTAAATGATAATGATAATGAAATGTGGGGCCATTACCTACATCAAGGATGGAATTTAAGGTGGTAGCTGCTAATTATTTTTTTCCAGTCATACTTTTCTAAGAATTTAAAGCCATTTTAAACAAGATGACAGAGGAATTTTTCAATGATATATTTTTCCTGCCTTTCTAGTGGAGTGGCATTGTTTTTGCCTTTTCCTCCACCTCACTGCAAAAAAATGGAAATCTAAATAAGTAATTTTTGCTCAAGTTAAGTGCATTTTTTAATTGAGGAGGTATGTTGGACACTTTTCCAATGAAACAAGACCATTTACATTAAAAATAAGAAAAAAACAATTGTTTTGTCTTATTTTAAGTGTATATTATCAAATTATCTTATTTTAGGTGGAGCAAATTATTTTTTGTTAATGATTAAAAATGTTTTTTGTGCATAATCTATCCAAGTTTATTTTACTTTATTGTTTAATATCTGTTATTAGATTATGTATTTTGGTTATTTAGTCATGTTCCTTCATTTTTAGTTAGTTATGATTAATTTAGGTTAATTATTTTTTATAAATAGGCAGTCAAGCGTAGGACCAGCATGCATCTGGGTGAGCGTATGGTTTTTTACCAGTGCAAGAGAAACATGGAGGAAATGTTTGTCTTTTTTTGTTTGCTTGCCTGAGGAAAAAATTAACTGAGAAAACTAAAGGAGTTTACCTAGAGCATTTTTTCTGTTGCCTGCGTAAAATAAGTCCATGGTGCATTTGTGGCGTTTGTAGGTTTCTGCTTTTTTGTGTCATCAAAGCTGGGCCACAACATTAGGAGTAAAAATACTAATTCCATTGGCAGATCATCTTATTTACCTGCTCAAATTAAGGGTAAATACACTTCATTTAAGAAATGTTTTACTTATTTGTAGATGGTTTTTTTGCAGTGCTGTAACTACAAGAAATGCAAATGTGTCCTTAAATATTGTATATAGAGAGTAATGCAGGGGGAACTTTTCTTCTATGTGTTGCTGAACACTGTCTTATCAGCTGGCTGAATACAGTCTTCATTACAGTTTATTAGGACCCAATCAGGTTATTTGATTATATTTATTTATGGTTGGAAAAAAAACTGCATTTTGGGTGGAAACTAAAGTAAAATACTGTCTCTACTCCATCTGTTGCTGCATATATCTCAGTCATTTGGCAAACAGAAAGGTTTTTCCCCCTTATTAGCATTTGGAAAATTTGAAACAGGTATTTCTGGTTACAGAAAAGTTACAGAAAAAAACAAGTTGAGGAAACTAAAGGCTATATGATAAAGAGGAGCAACACTGCCTCTACCTGATCTAATGCTGTGCACTGCCCCATCAGCTGACCGAAAGAAGGCTCCGACAGTTTGCGTTTGCTTAATAGACAGATTTAGCTGTTTGGACAAAACTGCCTTTAAAGATGTGAAAAAGAAGTAAATAAGCCAAGCAGCTCCATCCATTATTGTTAATTTGGCAGCGCTGATTTAAAGCTTCGAGAAGATCTGTAATATGTTTAGATCTTTATGCTCTGAAGTCCCCTGAATGTAAAAGGAGGAAAAAGTTCCAGAAAGACCAGGATTTTTTTACTGGGTCATTGAAGCACCAGTGTGCCCAACCCCCACCTGTTGCTTCATAGTGCCTGCTCAGATGACTGAAAGAAATGTTTCTTTCTCTTTTTTTTTAAATGCCTGTATATTGTTTTCCAGTTTCTTCAGATGTATGCCAAAATATATATTTTTTAAACAATCTGTGTGAAAATACTTGAGGCTTCTGAAAAAATATAGGTTACACAGAGAGAGCCCTAATCATCACTCTTCGCTCCTCACTTAAAAACTACCCCTTATAGCCTGTAGTTTTCCCAAATTGCACCTACAAAATCTTCTGCATGATTTTCCAACCGCTCCTGTTTAGTGTGTTTTCTGGACTGCAGAGCTCCAGCTCCTTGTTCAGTACAAAATTTACTTTAAAATTCTGTACTTAACTTTCATCATCCTGCAATAGAGCTTTGTAGGTTACTGAATCACTAAAGCTGTATAACCATCAGGTCAGTTAAGCTGGTTGCTATGTACTTGTTATTGCTCCAAGATGTTAAGAATAAAACAATAAATAAAATAGACAAACTTCAGATAAAGCACCTACACTCTTGAAATTTTACTTTTTTCATTATTTGGACTAACTGAACTTGTTCAAGAAGAAACTGTTAATTAATGTGATTTTAATTCATTTTACTTAAGTGTCATTTATTTAACCAAAGGCTTTTTATTTTTATTTCTTTAGTGTTAACAGATTTTTTTTGTAAAGCTCCTTAGCATTCTCATCTTGAAAGACACTTATATTACTTGGGGGTGTCTGAAATTATTTTTTTCCTAAAGAAGATTAACTGTCAATGTCTAAAAATTATACAATCTCTTCATTCCTGAGACACTTTTTCTTGCAAAAATCACATTAAGAGTTTGGTCTGACTATAAATCCAAACATGCATAAATATGAACAATGCTTCAGATACACATATAATACAATCTCATTGACATAAAGGCAAACAATCTTCCATTTTTAACTCTGATTTAAATCTAAAATGACAGCTTCTGATGAGGGAATTTGAGACCAAAATAAACTTGACATCTATTTAACACCTGAATCTTAAACTTAAAGAAAATACAAAGAAAACAAAAGATCATAGTAATTTAAAACAAAGCACGAGCTCATGTTCTGAACACTCGATGACTAACCTCCCAGCATCCTTGTGGGCACCAGAGGAGAGCTGAACTCACAGCTTTGGAATGTGAGCAGAAAACTATGGAAAAACAAGCCCGAAAACTGTCATTTCTGATCTCCACTTAATCATTTCTGTCTTGACCATCTTCAGTCTTTGTAAATATCCCCAGTAAGTTAGTTTTCTTTTGCACCATATCTTTACTAGATCAACTTTAAGCAGGTTTCACTCTTAGCTATCATTATCTCTGGCAGGTTTTGCGTAACTTGAACAATTATTTTGTTCATTTTTTGTGTTTTTTTTTTAGCTTAAAAACAGAACCCTGCAGAAAGAGAAAGAAGGAGGGAAGGTTGCAGATCCTCAAGGCCGTCCACCAGCTTGAAAACAACAAGCATGAAAAATAGTCTGCTCACGGAGAAACTCCCCCCACCTTATCTCACACCTAACCCTGGTAGGACGTTTCTCAGGAGGTTATTCCCGGTTGTAAGGAGAGAGGGAAAAACATGTCGGAAGGAATGAAACAAAAACAAGCCCTTAACCCCACCCACCCAGCACCAAATAGCCCACCCTCCAGAATTCACAGGCTTGGCCCCTACCCCCAGCCCAGCCCAATCCAATCCAAACCCAGCCCAAAGCCCACCCCCCTCCATGGAAAGGCCCTGTTTTTGAAGATGCTTGTGGTGGAGGCCTCTGCAGTCACCACAGAATTATGGTTGGGGTCACAGGGTTGGATACCAGTGTCAGATGTGATCCACTCAATCATATCCCCGACAGCTTTCTGATCATCAAAGGTCGGAGGAGATCACCTCAGCGCTGTTCGCTGAGGTGTGAAAGAAAATTAGTATTTATGTATGGGAAGCTTATGTTCTCACTTTCTGGTAACAAGAAGGTATAAGATAAAAGGAACCTTAATGTATATTTCAAGACAAATAGAAATAAAAAAAATAAATAAATAAACAAATAATCTATAAAGAAAAGAAAACCAAGATTAAGGTGGATTTTTCTCCTTTTAAGCTTTAATTCAGCCCAACAATGGTCATTTCTCTATAATTAACATCAACAACCAGCAGAATAGCTAACCGTTACATGATGTAAAAAGCAGTTCTTCTTTTACATGTATGTTTGCTTTCCTAAATAAAAAAATGTAAAAAACGTTTGATTCTTTAATTATCTGTTAAATCTAAATATTTTCCTCAAACTTAACATTACCTCTTTTTCCTTTTAGTAAAGCTGAATTAAATACACACACACACACACACACACACACACACACACACATATATATATATATATATATATATATATATATATATATATATATATATATATATATATATATAAATAATTAAGGTTTTTGTGTTTTAGAGCAAACTTATTTGTAGCCTGACAGTTCTGAAAGAAGAAAAGCGGAAAACCAATGTTTCTTTTTTAGATATTATTATTTTTTTGTGTGTGAACTAAAAGAACAACAAAAATGTACATTTATATCTGCATTTAAGGGCTGAGTTGAGTTAAATGAAAGCAGAATGCTGAACATGAACAAAATCCAAAGGCTTGCTAAAAAAAAAACTAAAGAACTAAACTCCTTTTAAAGGAGAAAAATCTTTATTTCATAATTTTGAAAAACAAGAATACAATTTTATATCACTTTAACACTCAGCATTGATAAATCAAGACCCCTCCAAACAAAACATCTCATTTGTGTGCTTATAGTCATTTTTAAAAGATTTTTCTAAAGCTGCATCTTTCTTTCTATGTAATTATATATCTATAGGATCAAAAACATTTAATGGAGTTGAAGGAAGAAAGCTGATAATCACCATTAGGAAATGATTGAATATTAAAAATCTTGTTCTGTTTGAACATGTCAATATATTAATCATTGTTTTTATTACTTATCAATCTTGGTTTCGATGAGTTTAAAGAACATTAAGATGGGGAAATGTTGCTAAACTGCAAGCAATTCTCTCTCTTTAAAAGATACTATATATATTCCTGGGATGTTTTGTGTGAGGTTTTACACTCACCTTATTTTATTTCAGCGTTCCTTTTGCTGCAAATCTCTGTTTGTTTTTTAGGTGTTGATAACTTCCCATTATTTTGAAATTATTGTGCTTAACTACAACAGTTATTCACTGTAAAGCCATATGACCCAGCACAGGTAATAATGTTCCTAGTAAAGTAACCAATAGTTATAGTATCTCACATTATTTCACCATATATGCTGCAATCTGGAATAGACTACTATAGTTAGTACAATTTAATGTCAACCTATTCAACTACATAGTAACTCTCTGGTAATAAAATGAGGCAATTGTTGATTTGTAGGTGTATGTTTTTGTTTTTTTAAAATCTTAAAATATTTGATCTGCAATAAATACACCAGGTTATCCCACAGACATTTAAAATTTGAGCATTTTAAGCAATTTGTTCCTGCATAATGTTCACCTATGATGTTACTGTTGTCTGATTGCTGTTTATTTCACAGTTAAACTGATTTAATGTTATAAAGTGACTCATTCCCGAATTTTCACTTTTATGTTTGATAGTTTTTGTTTTTCTTCTGAAAGTTTATTTGTTTTCATAATGATGGAAAAGATTCCTGGTTCTACCTTCTGTTAAATAAACATTAACCTCATTGAAAAATAAAAATACAGAAGCCGCCTGATATTTGCCAGAATTTACTCTTATTTTAGTGCCATTTACAGTGCTCTGTAAGCCAATTAACTTCATGGAAAGTACAATATTCTGAAAATTATGCTCAAGTTAAATCAACTTTCATCTGATGGATGCAATTTTAATGAGATTTAGAAAAGATTAATGTGGAAAGATGCCTGTTTTGCTCATAGAACATTTATATCTTGTATTTCCACAAGACAAGCAATCAGCTTTCTTTTAGTCTCACTGAAGATTTTGATTCATAGCAAAATAATCAATACTGTTAATTGACATTTATGATGTTTTGAATTACGTCCGATACAGATAGATCTGACAAATAGATAGATGATAAATGTGAATTTGAACCTATAGGGGATGTTTTGGCACTTTTTTTCTCATAGAAGGCTTTGAATTGAATTGAATTATGGTTTGTATTTTTGCTCATAACCCCCCTGATTGGAAATTGGAATTTGTTGACCAGTAAATTGAACTGCACTGCAAAAAAATGGAAATCTAAATAAGTCATTTTTGCTCAAGTTGAGTGCATTTTTTTTCTTGAATTGAAGAGGCAAGTGAGACACTTTGCCAATGGAACAAGACAATTTACATTTAAAATAAGAAAAAAACAATGGCTTTGTCTTATTTCAAGTGTATATTATCTAATCCTCTTATTTTAGGAGTAAAAATACTCATTCCATTGGCAGATTATCCTATTTACCTGCAAAAATTAAGGTTAAATTAACTTAATTTAAGAAAGATTTTTTTTTTTTTTCAGTGTGCTGGAACCATGTCTTTGGAAGCTCCCAACATGTGAACAAGTCACAGACAAATCCTCAAAAGATTCTGATATTTTGGGACAAATCTCCATTTTGGAGCACCTGATAAACAAAGCCAGATTCCTGAGTGGTTTGAATAGCAACCTTCTAAGCAGACTTTGTACTCTATCACCCCAGCTAACCCCACCCAACCCCCCAATCCTGCACCCTGTAGGATCCCAGAGGAAATTTGCCTTTACTCTGCGCTCCTGTCATTGTAGTTCAAAGGGTTCATTGAGCTCCGTTTCTCTTTCGCCCTTTTTTTTATGGAGGGGGGGTGTTTTTCGTCGTTTACTTCATGCATTCCAGCTACCAATCCGTTACTTAAAGAAAAAAAAAAGTTCAGAGGGAAGTGTAAAAACTGGGCGCCAACCAGGTCATGTTTAGGATCCTTTATTTTAATTTAATGTGCACAAGTTATTGATTACTGAACTCTTATAAAGTTGTTTTATTCATAATTTATTCCAATTCTACGTCATTGATTGCGGAAATTTCACCGGAATCTCATGTAAAAAGTATTGGATTTATTTTTGGAAAAGCAAGAGAAAAGTTGCAGCGTTATGAAAAAAACATATTTTCATAGAGCTAAGGATTTCGTTAAATAACATTTAGACAAAACGAAAAATAATTAAAAATAGTCCATTAAAGTTTAAATAAAATAAACTAACTGTGGAAGGATTATTTATATTCTGTCTCGTTTAGTTCCTTACAAAAATGCACCTCTTAAACATGGATGTATGGATTCAAATCTGTGCTTTTAAACTAAAAAAGTAGATTTAAATCCGATGCGTTTTTTTTAAGTAGCCTATTTAAATAAATACATCTAGATCACCTATAAGATTAAAGTAAATAAACGAAGTTTTTAAATATACATATAAAAATCAACGCAAAAAAAGGCAGTAGATATTTTTCTTTAGTCCGACTTAAAAGCAAATATGTGAATGATATATCGATGACGTCACGTGGAGGGGCGGACGGAAAGCGGTTCTCCAAAGGTTTCCCAAAACTTCTTTATTTTAAATGTCCATAATTCAACCAAATACTTGCTCATATCTTTATATATATATATATATATATTTAAAAAAAACATTTTCTATTTTAACGAAGAGAAATAGGCGGACTGCAGGATTTTATTTCACTTTTTGTAGGCTTTGACGTCATAAACGCAGATTTAGTTACCTCTGAACAACTCATTCATAGACTGGTTTTCTCAAAAAATTTCTTTACTTTCTTTTTAAAATCATGTCGATTTCGGGGTTTCAAAGAGTGGTGAAATTGCCTTTTGTCATGTTCATCCGTCTTTATTTGTTGTCGGTGGGCAGCCTGCTTATCATAAAGGGGCGTGAAGCTTTGCTGCGATTGAAAAATTGTTTAATTCCAGAAGAACTTAATTGAAAACAGATTTTCTTTTTTTTTTTTAAGAGGGGTCGTTTCGGGTCAATGAACCAAGCTTCACAAACATAGTAAAGAAAAGAAAAATAACTAATAAAAAGGAAACAAAATATTTCCAGACTCACCTGTTGGAGTAACAGTTGAAGAAGTAGACATGTTTTTTTATTTCCGACCTGCAGATAAATTAGGTTCTTCTTCCGACCAGACTTTTCCTGATGCTTCAACATGAATCACATGTTTAGGCTGACATTAACCTACATGGCACGCTGGAGATAAACGACTGAGTGAAATCAAAGAGATTTTCCATGGATGAATATTTTATAGTGACTGTGTAACACAAGCTGCGGCGGCGCGGATGGCCAGGCAGATTTGTTGGAAACGTGTTACTCTGGAGCAGGAGGTTGCTGGGAAATCAGCTCCAAGATTCTCCATATTCTCATTTTAACTCTTGTCCAGAAGGACTGATCCATGCATTAAAGCCATGGCGCCCAAACGCAGATGTTCCTCAACAGCTCCTGTTGAGATGGTGCATGCAGTAAAAAATGTCCTCATTCAAGATTTCCGTGGAGGAAAAGATCCCTCTGAGACATCATCTACCTTTTACAGCATGTGGAATGTGTGGCCTCCCCCAACATGCTCCTACTTTCCCCCACCCCTCTTTTTCCCTTGTTGATAATGATCCATACTTCACATCCCCCACTCTTGCTTGTCCACATTCAACCACTCAAAGGGCTGCTTTTTCAGAGCTGGAGCAACATTTGCTCCAAAACACCATAACAAGGCAAATATCCTATAGGAAATCTTCCAAAAGCATTGAAATATCCTTTTCACATGTATAGAGTCAACATCTTCTCCACTGATCTGTCACCTGTTGTTCACACACCAATGGAGATGAATTTAATGGTTTCAGATCAGTAATTGGAGTTCGATTGATGAATTGAAAGGAAAGTGTAGAGAAATGGTCTCAGTAGCGCCACCCGATGGCTCATTGCAGCATCTTTCAGGGTGGGCCCCGAATTTTCAGTTAAGGATGGGCCCATTATTTTCGATAGATAGATAGATAGATAGATAGATAGATAGATAGATAGATAGATAGATAGATAGATAGATAGATAGATAGATAGATAGATAGATAGATAGATAGATAGATAGATAGATGATAGATAGATAGATAGATAGATAGATAGATAGATAGATAGATAGATAGATAGATAGATAGATAGATAGATAGATAGATAGATAGATAGATAGATAGATAGATAGATAGATAGATAGATAGATAGATAGATAGATAGATCTCCTATAAAAGTCTTTAATTTCAAGAGAGTTTGATAAAAGTACAATATATTACTTTTTTTAGATTAAATACAACTTGACTTGTTTTTATTGTCTTTTTTTAATCAGTGGGTTGCTGGTTATAAAACTTTATAACTACTTTATTACTTATGAAAAGGAAAGAGTCAGTTATGGCTGTATCAAAAACATGGGAACAAAATAAAGTCTAATTTAATATGTAGAATATATAAGTTGAAACAAGTAAAGATATGTAAAGCTTCAAACCACCTCTGATCAATATGAGCAGACAACAGATACACAGTGTCATTAATTAGCCTCATAAATCCTGTTAAATTCGTACTGGTAACAAAGTATTTGGCTGGTGGTGACAGTTAACAAGCAAATTAACAAACATTTTCCCTGGAGCCTGTAGGTGGCGCTAGTGTCCGGTAGTAGGAAAAGGAAGAGTTAGCTTTACGCCAAGCAACACAGCACCATTTTAATAGCTGCAGGCTGCAGTTTTTTTAAACATTAGAAGTCCTTTAAAATCAGGTTAAAATTCATATTAGGGAATTTTCCAGAGTCGTTAAAATAAATCTAACGTTTTTCGAGCAATTTGATAATTATTTCAGCGTTAAAACTACTTAAGAGGTTGTAAAAGTAAGGGGTTACATACGTTTTCTCGGGCGCCCTCTAGTGGTTATTATCTCTGATTTCCTTCCCTTCGGTTACGTGCGTTTGAGCACGGAGGCCTTGGCTGCAGCGCCTGAAGTTTGTTATTTGGTGTTTTGTTAATTTTGTTTATTTTTTCGCGTTACTACACAATTGGTCGCTCCCAATGTTTTTATTGAGGGCAGAACACAGATTTTAAAGGGAGCTTTTTAAACTGGGAATCGCGAGCCTTGGAGGGTTAGGGTTATTATTTGCTTAAAAAAAAAAAAAAAAAAGCATCCTGGCAGAACTGAACCTCTTGTAAGATTTTTTATATTTTTTTTTTATCTGAACATCTTTCTCTCTTTTGAAATTTTGAGATCCACTAGATTTAGTCATACAGTGATACAAAGTGCAAAAAGTTTTAGTTAAAGCTAAGTGATTTAATTAAGTCATTTAAAGTGTAATAGTCTTTTTTTTATTTAGTATGTTATCCCCTTTGCCATTGCTGTTCATCTTAGTAATGCAACTATTGAGCTTTGTTTTGAATGTCTAAATACATCGTATTGGAGCTTGTTTTGACCTTTATATTCTTATTATTCCTTGTTATTTAAATCTTTTATGTTTCTATTTTTCAGAGGAGCACATAGACTGAGCGACAATGCATCATTGGAATTTAAATAGTCAAAAACTTACTCAAATGGTTGCATTTTTGCCTTTAAAATACCCTTCCCCCCCTTTTAAAAATAGAAAAAAAAGATAAGATTTAATACTATTTTCAGCTCAGAAAGGTAACTTTCTTCTAATGATTAAAGAGAAAGAATTGACATGTTTTTCTGGTTTATTCATATTTAATCTAAATCAATTACTTAATAAATTGCTTCTTGTGCCATATTTAGGTTGATGCAGGAAAATTATCTAATGTTTTGTTACCAGTGTAAATATCTAATGGTTACCCTGACAAAACAGCCCTAATCCCTGAAAAATAGGCACATCTGATCACGATCAAGAATATTCTTCAAATACTTTTTCACTGCATTTTAGGCCCAAATGTGTTTGCTCAGACTATTTTCTCAATTTGAATATAACATTTTGAATAAAGAATCTAAACGCTACCAATAATGTTTGAACTAAGAACATCTAATCGAACAGTCGTACAGTTTTGTCCTTTTTTATTTACAAGTAATACATGTGCAATTAATTTGCAATTACAGAAAAGAAAAATATAATAAAAGGAGAAATTCAGAAAATTCTTGATAAAACTTGAATTTACTCAATATTATGACATAGACTTTCCTTTTTCAGATATCTGTAGAAACATAATCACAAGAGTATGTTGGTTTCATATCAAATCTAAAAATAAGTCTTTTTACTTTGCCAAGAAATTTTTTTTCCACCCACAGTGGAAGTAGACATTAAGCATGTATCAGTAATTCTCAAGGGGGGCCCTTTTGTCGGACCACCCTCATTAACTGCTCCTCCTACATGTTTTGGGTAACTTTAAAGTTGTCTAGTGCCCCCTGCTGGTAGGCCAAACATTTGCAGGAGCAACAGGTGTACAAGCTGCTGCTTTTCTCAAGAACAAGAAATTGTTGATTGAAATGCTTAGTGCAAATCAACAAAACTTTAATGTGAAAGAAAGAACACACGATCATCTTTACTAATAATTTAAAATATCAGAATATTTTGCTAGACTTTGGTTAGAGGTTACATTACAGAAAAAAAAAAAAATCCAGTCATTAAATTTAAAAGGGAAATTAATGCAGAGAATAATGTCTTATATTGTCCATAGGTAATGAAAAGCCCTAAAAATTATTTTTACATACTTTCTGGCCGAATAAAAAATAAAAATATCGACATACTGTACAGTGTTATGCAGTTAGTATTAGCGCAGGCTCCTTTGCATTGTTTCATTTACTGACGCCTCATCTTCCTCTAAATATTAGGTTTAAGTCAGGCCGGTTTGTTGGCCAATCAAGCATAGTGATGCCATGGTCCATATAGCATGTATTGATGTCTTGGCAGTGTTCATGGGTGTCAAGTCCAATCAGAAACTTCTGTCAACATCTCCCTTTGTAACGCTCTCAACTGGTAGGTTACAAAGCAATATCAATATCAATACTCCTCAAATCATTAGAAGCTGCAGTCCTGACCAGACTTTTTCCTTCCACTTAACTTCCCTTAAATATAGATTTTGACAGTTGAATGTATGCAACCGTCTGCCAGATTTTGTGAGGACCGTCATGCTCCTATATCAAAATATATTAAAGGGATGTTATTGTTCTAAATATCCTAGATGGTTAGCTTGGAGGTTTCAGCTGCAGCAAGCTGTAACTACCAAAATTATTTTAAAAACAAGACCTTGAAAAAAAAAAAAAATCACTGCGTATACCAGGAGTTTCATTAACCAATATGAATTACTGAAACAAAACACCCTTTCCTATCGAACCAGGTGTAGCTATGTGTGTTTTGTTTTTAACAAAGACAATATAAATCAGACTTTAAAAAGTTTATTGAAGTTCTGGCATTGTGTGTTGTTCCCTTCCACAGGGTAAACAACCAGCAAGAGTCGAGAGGTAGAAAACTTTAGTTTGCAAAAAAGTTTGTAACCGACCTTCACACGCAGTCAGACCATCACATGATTACACAGCAAAATGTTACATTTGCAGCTTTCCACACAAAAATCAGTAATACAGTCTACTTTCAGTACACCCATAAACAACCTACATGACAGTAATACCATTCAACAACCAATTATGTTCACAAACAAGAATTAAATAATACGCACCAGTCAGGGAGCTGCTGGGGGACATACACACATATCTTAAACATCTTACCTCAAGACCGTATTGGTTAAGAGTAAAATTCCCAGACATAAAGAAATACAAATATGGCCCACCATGTAGTAGCTGAGCTGCTTTTTTTTACAGGTTTTGTGCTGTTGTAACACTGATGGCCTTCAGGACAAAGGAAAATAACGGACTTTAGGTAAACAGTTCAGATTCATTAAACATCTCATTTGAGTGTTAAACCGATCATGTGTAAATGTTCATAAGAAACAGTCCTCTGAATTTGAGTAAATGGGAACCAGCAACCCAGTCAGACTTCAACATCAGATTTATGTTATTTGACCCAGGACAGGTTGAGACAGCGGGCAATGAAGGCGTAGGTATCAGCCACCTCCTGGATGACTTTGCTTGTAGGCTTCCCAGCTCCATGGCCTGACTTTGTGTCCACAAGGATGAATAGAGGATTTGTCTGCTTGGTGCTGCGACCCACAACGTGCTGCAGGGTGGCGATGTATTTGAGAGAGTGGAGGGGCACCACCCGGTCATCGTGGTCTCCTGTGAGCAGCAGCACCGCAGGATACTGGACCCCATTTCCCTCTGGGACACGGATGTTATGGAGAGGGGAGTATCTGAAAAATAAAAAATAAATCATTAAAAGCTGGAAAGAACTTCTTGCAGAACAGTTAACATTTATTATAAAGGAAGAAAGAAAATAATGCTCAAACACCAAACAAAAACTATTCAGACAAAGCAGTTAAAAAATGTCCCTTCATTCTAGAGCGGTAATGCACAGGTAACTAAGATCATTCTTGAGACCTTCATAGGTTATGTATCTTAAATGTAAGATACTTACATTAACCACGGGAAAAAAATAAATAAAAATTATATTATATATATATACATATGTATGTATATATATATATATATATATATATATATATATATACATATGTATGTATATATATATATATATATATATATATATATATATATATATATATATATATACACACACACAAGCTAATCTGACAGAAAAAGGTCTTAAAAATCTATATCAAAAGATACATTGTTTGATTTATCTGCATTTACATCTTAACCTTGCATATTAACAAAGATTTTTTTATGTCCCAGGATGTTAAAGTTATACATTGAACCCTAGTGTGATGTAGAAATATTAGAAGTGCTATACTCGACAGTTTAACTAAATTTTCAAAAGCCTTTTTTCCTGCCATCAGTAAGTTTGAAACATTTCAAATCAAAACATTTTTTGTAAAAAGCTCCACTTGATTAACTTAAATCAGAGTAGGGGGAAATATATTATTAGGTTCTTGTATTATCTATTCCTTTGCTCCATATATCCTTTAATCTTAGTTTAACTTTTATACCTTTATAATGTTGGAGGCCTTCCCTCAGTCTCAAACACCAATAAAATACAACCTAAACGCAAATTTGATTTATTTTGGAGAGCTTAGCTCCTCAGAGACCAAATATAATCTCCTATAGACAACTATTGATTCATATTAAAATACAGTAGATATTTTTTCAGTTTTTCACTTCATATGATTGGACTGATTTAATTGCATATATTTGTAGATAAACAAGTTTTACTCTTTGAGTGCCTTAAGAAGCCATTTGTTTTGAACTGGGTTAGAGAAACTGACAGCAAACATGATAAACTCATCAAATTTATCACAACTGTTCAGAAAACTTCTTTCAATTAACTTACTTTTTAATTGAGTAAATTAAAAAGTAAATTAAAGTAAACAGAAATACTTCCTTTGTAAGGAAAATGTTAAAAAGACTAAGGAAGGAAGAAAAGATGGAGACACTTGCTGAGAAAACATACTTAATGAGCCACTGGTACTGCTCTTTGTCTTCTGAACAGCCAAAGTCTGTTGTCCATGCGTGGCCGATTGTGAACTTGTGGAACTTCAGCATGTCCATGACGCCCACCTGAGCTACAGCACAGCCGTACAGCTCAGGCCGCTGGTTTACACAGGCAGCTGAGGAATAACACGAACAGTTTAAGATACCCTAAACCAAACTTTTGGATTGAAATTCTTTAAGTCGAGAGCTAACATACCAACGAGCAAGCCACCATTAGAGCCTCCATTTATAGTCAGTTTAGAAGGTGACGTGTATCCCTCTTTGATAAGATACTCAGCTGCACACTGGAAGTCTGTGAAACAGTTCTGCTTGTTTGCAAGCATGCCAGCTGAGGAACAAACCAAAAGTATCACCATTATTTAAATCTTTACCTCAACACATGATTGAAGATGAAAGCAGATCGTGGTGCTACCTACCTTTGTGCCAGGTCTCCCCGTACTCCCCCCCTCCTCTAATATTGGCGACAGCCAGAACACCACCAAGATGTCTGACGAAGATGAGTCGGGAGACGCTGTAACTCGGTGTGATGGAGATATTAAAGCCACCGTAGCCATACAAAAAACCTGGATGGGAGCCATCCAGTTTGATTCCTTTCTTGTGTACAATAAACATGGGTATCTGCGTGCCGTCCTTAGAGGGAAAGAAGATCTAGCAAGTAGAGAAAATAAAGAAAAAGAAAAAGAGGCTGTGAACCTTGAGCTGGTTGAGAACCAAACCCCTTTTTTATTTAAGGCTGTGAGGTCTTAAACGTGACCAAGGCAACATTTTCTTTACTTAAAAAATAAATAAAAAAATTATAAATTTTAAATAGTTATCTCTCATATACTTTACCTGGATTTGAACTCTTATCTTAACATTTAGTGTTGCTTACTTTGATCAAAAACTTGATACTTTAGAGAATTGCTTTCTTTTTTTTAACCTTGAACTTGAAGCAGAAATGAAACAGTCAACCAAATTAACTTAATTCAGATTTTGTCTATCATCAATAATTATATTACAAATGTGAAAAATATCAACGTCCTGAAGGACCTCTGCGCAGAGACATTGGAGCGACCTGTAAACGCATTTCATGAATAAAGCCTGTGGGATGGTGAGGGAGAGCTGGGACCTTAGGATAACCGACCTGGGTAGGTCGGGTGTCTGACCGGGTTTGAGGTCTGGGGCGCAGGTATCTTGGGGGCCCTGTTGCAGTGGCTCTAGCCCCAAGCTGGGTTCCCAGTGTGTTCGGGCATGGGCTGGGGTTTGAGTGCTGCCTCTCTGTCCAAGGGAATGTCCCCCTTCCTTGTCCGGGCTGCTGGGCTTCCCTTGGCATGCCACGACGGGTGGGTTGGTACATGTCCCCGGTGGCCCTCTGGTGCTTCCAGGTCGGTGGTGGTGGGGCCTATGGCGCGACGCTCTTATCTGGGACTGGGAGCTGTGTGGGCTGGCCTGGGTGATGGTGGCTGTTGCAACTGATGTAGGTCCACGATGCGTTTGTGCACAATGAGTTATTATTCATTTATCTATTTTTCTGGAATGGTCCTGCAAGGGGCGGTGGCTCAGTCAGAACCCCGGCTCCAAAACATAACTACTGGGGTTTAGACGTTCAAGTGTCCTTTGACTTTTTTTTTCTTTGACATTTATATTTTCAAATTTGTAATATTGAGAATAGAAAGACACAACCTTGTGAATTCAGTTAATTTGGTTTACCGTTTCATTTCCACTTTAAAAATACAGCCTTTTTCCAGATGATCTTAAGGCTCATTTAACAATTGATAGACAATACAAACATTTAACATAAAAACCATTGAAACTCAAAGAAATTACAATATTTATCTGAATGGCAATACTGTTTGATGAGTTTGCGCCGAGTTGACAAGGTGTTGTATGACAGGGTTAACCCATTGCAATTTTCTTTTTTAATAAATAGCAAGAACTTTTCTTGAAAGCCTGGCTCTAAAAACTCTAAAGTTCCTGGTTGATTAATAACTTAGACTGATGCATCTTAAATTACTTTGGTCCAAATGATTAGAATTTTAGTTTGATTTCTGAAAAACAACAACCTTAAATGCATATTAAGACTCTAGTAGGAAAAGTTTTCTTCAAGCATTTATCCACAAATTAATGATTACATTCTTCAAAATATTGATGAAGAATGGAATTTGGACATATAATATATAATCAGACCCAAATAAATAAAATCTGTTAAAAATGGTTTTACCTGAGTTGTTTGGTAGTCTGCAGGGTTGAAGCCTTTGACAATAACTTCTCTGAAGACATGAGGCTGCAGAGGCTCCTTAGTTAGGTCACAATGGTATATGATAGCTGGAAAAGGAGGGAAAAGCCACATTTAACGTTTGTTCATTATTTTCTAGGAGGCAGGCATTGATTATTATAGTTTTAAAGGCTTTCAGAGGACATTTGGGATGCTAAATTTAAAGAGACATTTCTCACTTTCCTTTCTCTATGTATGAGAGTTTATCATAAAAATAAAAAAAAAACACTTAGTTTTTCCAGATAGTAGAGAAGAATCATAGTATCATTATGATGCGGTGTCGGGTAAATTGAAAGTTGTGTTTTCTTTGCTGCTGTGATCGTATTAACGATCGAATGACAAAGAGTCACTGTCCATGGTGCTGAATGCAAAAAAATAAAAAACAAAACCCCATAATTTTCTATCTAAAAATATCAACAATCAAGTATTTATTCACTAATGTAAAAATAGTGGTTTTAATTAATCAAATAAACAGCAACATTTTATTTAAGAAGGGAGTAAATGAGTAAAACCCAAACCAGTACATTATGTACACGAGTAGTAAAACAATATAATTGTGTAATTAGAGGAGGATAACAAACATGCATCCTCTTAATATTTAGCAAACTGGCTTCCACAACTGACATTTAATCAAATAAGGCAACATCAAAGGGTTTTGTACCTGGTGATAAAAAGGAGGTAAAATAATAGAAGATCTCTGAATCTCTCTTCCTTCCTGTAAAGCCCACTATAGAGCCCACATCAAGAGGGAAGGTTCTCAGCTCCTCTCCTGAGCTCAGACGATACATCTTCAAGACATTCTTGACGTCGTGGAGGAAACACACAAACAGAAAGCTGGAGTACGTGCAGGTGGCAAATACTACAGGAAAGATGACAGAGAACAAAAACTCAGAAAGAACCTCAATATTTCTAATATCACAGTTTGACAGAAGTATTTATTCCACATTTGTCAACCAGAAGCTTTAATGTATTTTAGTGGATTCATATGCATAATTGTAAAGTGGAAGGAAAGGGAGAACCGGATTTTGAAAATAAGAATCTGAAACGTGCAGGATGCACTTGGACTTGGACCCTTTATTCTGGTACCGCTAAATGAAAACGAATCTAATATACAATTGTGTTGGCTTCTATGTATGCTGATGTGAATTTGTTGGATTTCAGTACATGTTAATGTTCTGTAGATCAGGAAACTGCTTTAAAACTGTAATTATGCTGAACCAGGTCTGATTACTTTTCATCATTTTTAAAAATACAAATCTATTCAACTAAACCAAAGGTTAGAGTACAACTGTTTCTAATACAAATAGAACATTATTGAGCAAACACCATCAAAAAGAAACAGGGATGAAGCTGAGGAGGTTGAAGCTCTGTTAGCTAATAGAAAAAAAATATCCCAAGCTCCTAATCTGAATTGAGTCTGTTATAAAAACAGAAGAAATTGATGTTCCTTATTAAATCTGACTGAGCTTGAGCTATTAGTGTAGTATCCTTAAAGGATATACAGCTAAATATGTAGCAGGTGGTTGACTTTGTGGTATAAATCCGGGAAGCTGAAATCAAAAACATGATACACTTAAATTATTTATTCTTATAAGAACCTTTCACTTAAGAATTATGCACGACGCTGAGCTTGTCTTTGACATAAATCCCAATAAATGCACCGACTGACAAGTTCAGACCAAAACTATAGAGATGATAATATTTCAAAGGCTCACCAATGACATCTTTGTCATGTTGGGGGATCAGCTCCTTCCAGTTGCTCTGATCAGGAGAGGCAAAGTCGATGTTGATGAGTCTGTAACGCGGGGCGTCTAAATTGGTCTTAAAGGTAAACAGTGTTCCCTCATTGGTGACGTATTCGTACTCCGCGTCAAAGTTATCGATTAATTTTATCCAGGGCAAAAGTCCTAAACAGACAAAGTTAATTTAAAGTTCTGTACAACATGAAATTAAATATAAGTTTCAACAAAACAAAGCAAAGGTTTCTGATCTCAGAGTTTGTTGCATTTTAGAAACATAAGAATGACTTTCTGAAAAAGGTTTAATCATCTAATGAATTTGATAGATTAATAAATAAATTCTTGACAAAAGAAATTGGGAATAACTTTAATTAAAATATCATGAATAAATAAAAAGAATACGTACCAGTTATGCCCTGCGATGTCGTCTGCAGGTCACAATACCAAAGCCGATTGACCGGATCACAGCCTTCTCTGATTGACAGCAACACATAGCGCCCATCATCTGATACCTGAAAAGATTCTCCAATCACTAGACGCCACCTTAGAAATTCATTTGCACCTTTTAGTCTGCAGTTGAATTAGTTGAAAGGTTAAAGGAGATTAAACTGGAGGCCTACCTCAGCCCCACTCATCCATTTGGGGTGGTCAGGAAATTCGGCACAAAGCACATCCTCAGACTGTGGAGTCCCCAGGATGTGATAGTAAAGCTTCTGATGCAGATTCGTGGAGGTCTCAGTGCCTGGAAGGTAGAACATCATATTAACCACAGCTGTGAGGAGCAATGAGGGGACAATATTACCAAAAACATTTATCAGAGTATATGTTTATAATAAACAAATCACTACTAATTTTCATCTTACCATCACTTTTTCCGTCCTGTTCGGGGTATGAATTGTAAAAAAGTCCCTTCCCATCATAAGTCCAGGACATGCAGCTAAATTTGACCCTCTCAAGGCGGTCCTTCAGCTCTACCGCGCCTTCCACTCGCAAGAAGTGGATTTCTACCCAGTCAGACCCACTGGCACTGGTGCCATAGGCCAGGTACTCTCCATCCTCAGAAAATGCATAGCCTTGGTCATATCAGAGGAAATATATAAAATTGTTATTTTTAATCAAAATGAAAATGTATTAAAAAAAAACACGGGATAAATTGAGATATTTGGCCACTAATACCTCGAAGAGCAACAGTGCCATCTTCAGAAAATGTGTTTGGATCCAAGAAGACAGTGGGTTCAGCGTCTAAACTCTCCTGCACATACATTACACTCTGGTTCTGAAGACCCGTGTTGTAAAAGTGAAAGTACCTAAAAAGGAGGATAGAAAACATCTTATGGGAGCCGAACCATCAGAGTTTAGATTTCTAAGTTTCGTTAAATGACATCACAGTTCATCTTACCTGTTTCCCCTCTTAAACGGGCAACTATACTTTGGATAGTCGTACAGCTCAGTCATGCGCTCCTTGAAAAGATCCCGGACCTCACACTGTTCTAAAAATGGCAACGTAAGCTGGTTCTGAGCATTGACGAATGCCTGGTTAAAGATGAAAAAAAAAAATTGAAACACTGATTATTTATTCATAACGCTTTTTTTGCTTTAGCACATGCAAACTACATTTTAAGTGTGAGAGTTTTCTATTAAACTTCTTAGTAACTTAGAGAAGCTTAGTTTTTTTTTTTTTTTTACGTAGGTATGCTACAATCTTTTTCCCTCAATGCCACAAGGAATGCTTCTTGTGATGACAATAGGCATTTATGATACAATACTTCTGCATCCATTCTTCTTTAGCCTTCTATTTTTAGTATTTTATATCAGTACAAAGTATTTTTATTGATACCAGTTATCACTGGTTACTGTTAGTTTTACATTTTACAGGCTGATCCAAAGCATGAATCAGCTATAAAAAAAAAGGCTTTGCGGAAACTTAAGTTGACAATTTTAAAAGCAGCAAAAAAAACAGAAACATGAAAATGCGGTGTTTACATCATGTAAAGTGCACATCCTGATCTGGATTACATAAACAACAACAAACTAACCATCACCAAAAAATATGCATGTCACTGTTATCAGGCAACAATTTTGAAGCAGTTTCAATGGACTCTATGCACAACTCCACTACTTCCTGAAATTAGGGCAGCTTTTTTTTTTCCTGTCTTTCATTACTTAATGAACTGATTCGTCCAGGTGTGTTTGGCCATGGTTACTGAGGTCAGGCTCACCTGGATGAATCAGATCATCCAGTAGAAAAAGACAGGGGAAAAAAGAGCTGCTTTAAGTTCAGTAAGAGGTGGAGTTGTGCATAGAGTCCATTCTGTTATAAATTGCAATTAATATCAAAACTCTTTTAAATCTGTTTGTCATGAAAATCTTTAAACAATCTATTCTGTTAATGTGTCATCCTTGTATCCATGTAGGGTTTTCTGTGCTTGTGATGGATTGTGGCACCATGACATATTAGGATTTACCTGTGTCTTCTCACTGTCTGGATCCTCCAGCCAGCTGTACGGATCCGGTACTTTGCAGCCATGGTAGTCATCCACCTAAATACAGTTAAAAATAATATAAAATTAAAAAAGAATTACCAGCTAGTAGGTGTGGTAAAGTCAATTTAGGAGCTGGGATAATGAAGCGACCACTAGCCAGCCACTAATCTTAGGTTATGTGTATAAGTTTTATTCTTATGATTAGTATATATTTGTTTGGTCAACCCCAAAGCCTGGTTTTAGCCACCTAGCTAAGCTAAGTAGCATGCTAACAAAGCGAACGCCCATTGAAATGAATGAGCTCCGTCAGTGATTTAGCTAGCTCAGCTAATCAGTTAGCAGGTCCCCTTTACTTACAACAGCCTCGTCGCGGTAAGCTTGGGGATACTGAAAAGCCATTTTGGACGTAAGATTTCGAGAATGGCGCAACACAGAAAACTTGCACAGTGACTGCAGCAGAGGCTTTGAAATGACTTTGCGGAACCTGGGAATCATTCACTCGTAGCGTTAAAGCTTGAGAGGAGATGCTCCCCGTTACACACACAGTCAACGAGTTTTTCGGCCGGTTGCTGCTCTGTCATTTTAATTTCACATCGCCCCCTCGCGGCAGAAAAACGGCACTGCAGAACCAGAATCAGATCAGAAATACTTTAATAATCCCAGAGGGAAATTGCTTTTGTTACACGCTCCAGTTACAGTTTTATATATATATATATATATATATATATATATATATATATATATATATATATATATATATATATATATATATATAATAAAGATACGAAATAAGAATAAAAAGAGATAAAATATATACACATATAGCTCTTCTGTATATATATATATATGTATGTATATCTATGCATATGTAAAAACTAAATCCAAATAAAGTGAATATCCAACTAAAGTGATAAATCCAAGTAAAGTGATAAGTGGCGTGCAAAAATAGTGCAATACTGCAACTTCTAAAATAACGATTGCACCTTTTTTAACCCATGGGCTTTGTAAAATTCAATCTGAAAGTTTTATTCTTTTAATGAAAATCATTGTAGAATGTTACACATGACTATTACAAGGACTGCAATCTCCTGTATATAAACCACAAAGATAGGACTTCCATCATTACTCGGCTGTTCTGTCATCTAGAGAAATGCTGGGATGACTGTAGTTCTGTGTCAAGAAGCAGTGTGCAGGTAAATGATGAAACTCTTCGTAATATTGCACCATTATATCTTGAACATGAGCATGTCAAAGGCCAACCATGGCTGTAAGTAAAAGCTGGATTCTATCCATGCTGAACAATTTGTTGAACCTAATAACAACTAAGTTAATTGTACACAAACTGGGGATCTAGGTGCTTAATTCCTGAGCAATTTTTGTATTACACAGAACACAGATTTCTCGGCATTGAGGCAACATTTAAAACTCTTAATTTAACCTTCCCACCAGTCTATGCAGTATGCACCTCATAGCTTGTCATCAAGTCTGCAAAGAAGATGATTGGCTGCAATCTTCCATCTCTCCAGGACTCTGAGGCATGCAAGGAAGATTGTGGCTGATCACAAACTATTTCAATCACTGCCCTCTGGCAGGAGGCTGCAGTCCATCAGGAACCAAACCTCATGCCACCAGAAAGGTTTCGTCCCATCTGCTACCTGCCTTATCAACAAGGCCCAGAGACCCCCGTGACATTGTATAGATCAAACATATAGATTTGGCAATTAATTTATCTTTTGATAATACATGGATTAATAACTGTAGCATATGATTTATTTAGTAACTTAATAAGCATGTAATCTATTACTTTAACCTGCTAGGGTCTTCAGATAGTTAGCAGTTCCTAAATCTGAGACATTTACATATTGGACTGAAGTGCTAAATGGATTAGTTTCATTCTCCCTTTAAGATTGTAGTAATAATAATAATACTAATGCTAGATTATCCATCTTAGCATTTCAAACTATGGACAACTATTTATCATACACAAAATGTCCAATGATAAAGACAGGTATGATTTTGGTATTTTCCTGAGTTTTATATATTGAATCCGATTTGAAGCAGAGCTTATTAATCTGTAATTTATATTGTCGGAAACTTTTAAGTTTTAATTACTTCTCTAATGGAACATTTGACAAGTTGGAACAGTGTCATTAAAACAGGTCTGTCTACACAATAGAATAACTGCTAATTTGATTAAAAAACCGACTTAAGGTTAGACTTGGCAGTGAGGCATGTTTCCTGCATTAAAAAATGAACAGAGGGAAAAATTTTCCATGTATTTCTCTCCAGTGATCAGTTCGTGAAGCTGCCTTAGGACCGGTGACTCAGAAACCAAACAAACCGGATCGTTATCTGTGCTTGGGTGTGGAGACAAACCGATGCCTCGACTCATCGATATGTTAGGTTTCTATTGCCGTTTTTTCTGAATCAGTATTGGCTGATACGCGTACGTATTGGCTAAACTTTAGCACCGTGGTAAAAATGCATGGTAGAAATTAATTGAATACATCCCCAGGTTTGAGAGTTTGATTTATTTATTTATTGATAGCAATAAAGGGCTGAACTTAAAATAACTGCACTTTAAAGGTGGCAGTTTTTGCAATTTAAAATAGGCTGTAGTTTATATATTTTTTGCAATATTTACTGCTGCTGACTTTTCTTTGTTGATCTATTGGAAAGGTTGGAGTGCAGTTAGAGAATCAGGGGAGAAAAAACTTCCTCATTAATAAAAGGGGGACCCACGAGGAAAAGTCTGGGTGCATCCAGCAACCGACTTCCATTAGCTCTCCATTGTTAATGTTTTGGTTTGATTTTTTTACTAGATTTTCTTTTTATTTCTTTATTTAGACTGGGATGTGTGTAAAGTTTGTTATCATTGTTGGTACTTGCATGTAAATGAAGGAAGAAAAAGCAACACTGGCTCAAAGAACCGGCACTGAAATATCATGAGTTCATATTGGGGATCGGTTAGACTGATATACAAATAAAAGACATTGGCTTTAAGAACCCCCCATTGGTCGATATTTATTTGGCACTATAATATAACATTTAACCTCCCAAGTAAAAAGAAAAAAAAAAGCATTTACAAAACAATAGGATTTTCAGATGAAGTCCTTTTTAAAAATAATGGGCATCAATCGTAATAACTTGTCTTTATGTCCTGTCATCACAATCTCATTTAAAAACAGAAATAATCGGAAATTAAAAAGGACATTTTGCATTAGAAAAAAGTCAACCTACAGATGGAGCGGTGGACATTGAGGCTTTATAGGGTTTAAGGTTTAAAAATGTTAGAGGGTATTTGCAAATAAGGATGTCGAAAGGTCACCTGAGTCCACTGAGGGTCTCCATCACTGTTCTTATCTGTCTGACAGTGCAGGAGAGAGGTCAGCCCCTCACTCTTTTTTGCTCATTATTGACCCCTCCCTTCCTTCCTCCACTTCTCGCTTAATCAATCAGTGCTGATTTGGCCGTCATTATCTGTGGCAGCTACTCTTACACAATAAACGATAGAAGAAGATGAGGTTTGATGAGGTAGGATCTTTAAGAATGTAAAAGGATTCTCTAAACCAGGGGTCTTCAATGTTTTCCAGGCCAAGGACCCCAAAACTGATGGTGAGATGGAGCGAGGACCCGTAATTATATATATTGTTTGAAATTGTATCAAACTGGTCCTATAGTCACTCTGTTACATATGGAGTAATATAACAAAAGTAATTTCTCCCTGAGATTATTAAAGTATTTCTAATTCTGATACCTGGTTGATGGGACAGGTGTTATGAATGAAATGGTGTCCAGCTTGAAAGAGCTCCTGTTTGTCGCTGAATGTGTTCATTGATGACTGAAAGACATCTTCTGCCTCCATTTTTCTGTTCACTACAGTGTGTTGAATTCATAAAATCTATTTAAAGACATTTCAATTATTTGAAAAAATTGCAGGGGGGAATATTAAATAAAATATCAACCAAAACTTTTGCGACCCCCATGCAGCACCTCCGTGGACCCCCTAGGGTTCACGGACCCCCTGTTGAAGAACTCCGCTCTCAGCTGTTAGATTTAATTAATTTATCTACATCTACAATTATTAATAAAAACTTAATTGGGATGCTATGTAACAACATCTTGTTCTGAAGAATCCTTTTTACCGTTTGTCACTGAGGAAAAACGCGGATGAGCCGTTACAGTACAGCCGTATTTCCAGCTACAAAAAAGCAAACACATTCTTTGAATGCCGCAAGTCAGTCAGTCAGTCAGATGTTTTCTTAGGAAATCCAGAATGCTGTTACTTTCACATTCAGGCCCGGAGCGTGTCACATCTTTCACGCCCTTTAGGCAGTTGCAATATTAAGTGAAGTTCAGAGGAAGCGATAAAGGGAGAGGCAACCCATAGTTCCGTGTGATTGCGTAATAGAAGCAGAGAGAAACAATACCTTAGGATGAATCATCTACATTTCTTTCATTAGTAACAATTATAAAGTTGATTGCTTAATAGTTTCCTAGGCAAACTGAAATGAAGGAGGATAGTTTAGGTAAAAATGTTTTCCCCATTTTCTCTTTCCTTTAAACTCTAGGAACACGTTTCTAAATGCAAAGGGAGTCTCTTTTTTTTGTGCTCTTAAGCCTCTGTTTTCCTTCACAATCTGAAGACAGAGAAGACTGATGTTTGAACTGTGTGTTTGAGTTCTAACACTGCTTTTTACACTCAAAGATTTGGGTGTTCACGCACTTGTATATTTGACACAAAGCTGGACTGAGCTGGAGGTGTCCATGCGTGAATCACACCTCCTTTTCCCTTTGTTCCCCCTCCATTGTCCAGGGTCGCCGTTGATCTGTCCCCCCATAGTCGGAAGCACCTGTCTCCGTTGCAGCAGACAAAGAAGGATGACCACCTGTTGTGTTTCACTGCAGAGGGTTACTACAAGGTTATTCCATTCAAAAATCTCCCCGGCTTCTTTCTGACAGACGCTGTTGTTTTGGACCCGTTTAAACATTAATCCAGAAGGGAAGCTGCTGATTCTTTGGATAATTGGACAAACTCTTAAATCATGTCACTCAATACACTAGTCTGACACTGCAAGATGAGCTGATATGAGGTATTGATCAATTAAGCAATTGATCAAGAAGTTTGCAAAGTCTTTCTCATTAGCTGCCACAGATTTGCACACCTTTTGAGGTCCTATTTGTAGGTGAAACTGGTGATGTTCCAGTTTTTCTTTTTTTTTCCTGATATGAATAAACAGTTTTAACATATATTTTTGCAAATGTGACACTTTTTAAAACCCTGTTTCACATCAGTTAAAGCTTTAAATTTTGGGTTTAGTCTCTCACAGCTTTTTACATTGAGGTTTTGCATATTTAAAAAAAAAAAAAGTATTTCTTGTCTCATCTAGATCTCCCTTTTACCACCATATGCTTATCATAAATTGCAAACTGGAGCTGTCATAGCCTTCTTCAAAGAAGGACTTTCTTCCTGCTTCTCCTCCATAACGGCCACATTCAAGCATTGCATGGCTGTAATTATCGTGTTGACAGATTGTCTCACCTGAGATTTGTATCTGTGTGGCTC